CCCACTAGTCAAATCATGATCCTCGGTCAAGGTCAGCAGTCCATGTTGACCTCAACTCGCCGAGTACACTCGGCTACTCGCCGAGTCCTTGAAGCACGTTCCAACTCGCCGAGTCATCGGGGTGACTCGTCAAGTTCCTTCGAATCTCGATCAAACCTTAAGGCCACCTGTTGAGTTTCCTCTTTGCAACTCGACGGGTATACACACAAACATATCCTTGGCTAAAACTCATACGACTCATCGAGTTGTTCTACAACTCGTCAAGTTTCTTGACCATCTTCATCTAACTCGGTGAGTTGTTCAACCAACTCGTCGAGTTCACAGCTTCCTTCGTCTGACTCGCCGAGTTGTTCATCCAACTCGTCGGGTTTAATGCACATATTCATATGACCCGCCGAGTCCTTTTAGTCATTTTAACATCCAGAAGTCTTTATGCCATGGCAAGGTCCCAAATTGCAGATCTAACTTCCTTAAGCCTGCTTATCACGTAAAGTTGCAAACTTTACGTGCATGCATTGCTTTACAAGCTCTTAATGTCAAAACCATGCTTTTAATTGGTGTTCATGGACCAAGGGAACCTTAATCTCGATTAAATCGGGAACTTTATGCTTGTATCATTCAAAGAGGGTCCAGATCTGAAGTTACAACTTCAGATCTAGCCCATGGATTGCCACACCAACTTGATACCCTTATAAAACCCTAAAACTTATTCAAAGATGAGGTCTAAATTTAAATAACTGAGGGTAATGGTTAAATACCTTCCCAAGAGATGTCCACAGAAGTAGAATTCGGATCTCCTCCCAGCTCCTTGCCTCAATCACTTGTTTCCCCAAACTCCTACACCAAAATTCTTCTCTCAAAGTTGAGAGTCGGGGCCTTACAAATCTCCCCCACTTGAACTAGAATTTGTCCTTGAAGTCCGCTGGGATAAACAATGTCGGATAATGCTCGCGCATCTCCGCCTCCAGCTCCCACGTCCACTCGGATCCCTTCCGATGTTCCCATTGTACCTTTACCAAAAGTATTTCCTTCTTCCACAGAATCTTCTTCTTCCTTTCCAAAATCGACACAGGCCTTTCCACATAGTTCAATCACTCATCGACCTGAATGTCATCCAACGACACTACTGCCTCCAGGTCCATCATGCACTTTCGCAATTGCGAAACATGAAACGTGTTGTGGATCCGGTTAAGCTCTTCTGGGAGCTCTAACCTATAAGCCACCTTGCCCACCCTGGAAACAATCCTGAATGGCCCAATATAGCGGGGGCCTAGCTTTCCCCTCTTCCTAAAATGGATCACAACCTTCCAGGGTGAGACCTTCAGGAGAACCATGTCACCCTCCTGAAATTCCAGCTCAGATTGGCGCCGGTCTGCAAAACTTTTCTGCCGGCTCTGAGCAGTCTGCAGTCGCTGTCTAATTTGTTGTATCATCTCGGTAGTTTGCAGAACTACCTCTGTCCGACCCATCACCCTGTTCCCAACCTCGCCCCAACAAACTGGGGTCCTACACTTCTGCCCATACAACAGCTCGAAAGGCGGGGCACCAAAACTGGAATGGTAGCTGTTGTTGTAGGCGAACTCCACAAGCGGTAGGTGGGAATCCCAACTCCCACCGAAATTAATGACACATGTCCTCAACATATCCTCGAGGTTCTGGATGGTCCGTTCACTCTACCCATCCGTCTGCGGATGAAACGTCGTACTGAAATGCAGCCTCGTACCCAGTTCCTCGTGGAACTTTTGCCAAAATCGTGAAGTAAACCTGACATCCCGATCAAAAACAATGGAAACCGGGACTCCGTGGCGAGAGACAATCTCGCGGACGTACAGGTCGGCCAACTTCTCTGCTGACGAACTCTCCCGTATGGCTAGGAAGTGAGCACTTTTGGTCAATCATTCCACGATGACCCATATAGCATCGAATCCGTTTGCCATCCTTGGCAACTTCGTGATGAAATCCATCACGATCCGTTCCCATTTCCACATGGGAATCTCCAGAGGCTGTAGCTTACCATGCGGCCTCTGGTGCTCGGCCTTGACCATCCTACATGTCAAGCACCTTTCAACGTACTAAGCGATATCTCGCTTCATACCAGGCCACCAATAACTCAAACTCAAATCACGGTACATCTTGGTGGCCCCCGGGTGAATAGAAAAACGAGACTTATGAGCCTCCTCCATCACTGTCTTCCTAACTCCTCCGGTAATCGGAACCCAAAACCGACCATATCAGGTAAATAGCTCACGGCTATCCTGAACAAACCGGGCAATTTCACCCTTAATCCTCTCCAACTTTCAGTTCTCCGGTTTCATACCCTTGATCTGAGCCTCCTCCATCACTGTCTTCCAATTTCACCCCTAATCATATCAGAATATCAAATAACTGTATGCTATTTTGGGTCTTACTTACAGGCTCCGGCTGATCGTACTCTCTGCATCCTCCATCCTTATCTTGAAAATCATTTTAAAATTTTACTTTCCGAAAATCTCGTTGATTTGAGACTGGATTCACACAAGTGTTCCTCCAATTCGCTCAAACCAAGGCTCTGATACCAACTTGTAACATCCATCAAATTTACGCCAAATTTAAACTTTTAATTTTAACAAAAGAAACAAATAGTAATTTGTTTTTACAAAACATTTCCAAATCATTTATCATCATAGTGTCCCAAAACAGATCATAAGGATGAGGAGCGGTATGGTCACGCCTTCGCCTTCCCTCGATCTCCTGAAGTACCTGAAACAATAAACTGAAAATTGTAAGCCCGAGGGCTTAATGAGTTACCCCCAAAATACCAATACCAAACTAACAGAAACCATGTCAATAACAATCAATCAATCAACATGCGTATTGGGCCATCGGCCTGACTGGTCCGCCCTAATAGGCCTACAGTCTATCTGAATCTATCCCGAGCCTTCGGCATGATTGGTCCGCCACGTGGGCCCATAGTCTCCCCGGACCGCTCATAGGGTATGTTGGCCTTCAGCACAAAGCAGGACCGCCTCAACACAACCCGCAAGCAAATAACCAAGTGTGCATACTATCTTATATAAGCATATACAACATCAAGCATATCTATCTCACTGATCATCAATCATAGAATTCTCTTGTAACTAGAGCACCGACCTAGCAGGTCACTAACATACCAATCCCTACGCATCATAAGAGCATAACATACTGTCTCCCTAATTCCGATCAAACAGATCATATCACATGTAGCATACCATAACAATAACAACTAAAGGGTGGGCCTTGGTGCCGTAGACCCTATCAATATAGTGAGGATAACTCACCTCGCAGATGTCGACTCGGAAGGTAAGCTCCAACTATCGGATTACTTGTCATAGGATCCACTACCTATAACCATAGCACAATATACTCATAAGTCCTTAGCCCTATAAGGCACTCCATAATCCACTAGTCAAATCCTGATCAAGGTCAAAGTCCTCGGTCAAGGTCAGGAGTCAATGTTGACCTCAACTCGCTGAGTACACTCAGCTACTCACCGAGTCCTTGAAGCACATTCCAACTCGCCGAGTCATCGGGGTGACTCATCGAGTTCCTTCGAATCCCGATCAAATCTTAAGGCCACCCGTTGAGTTTCCTCCTTGCAACTCGACGGGTAGACACACAAACATATCCTTGGCTAAAACTCATACGACTCGCCGATTTGTTCTTCAACTCGTCGAGTTTCTTGACCATCTTCATCTAACTCGCCGAGTTGTTCAACCAACTCGTCGAGTTCACGGCTTCCTTCGCCTGACTCGCTGAGTTGTTCATCCAACTCGTCGGGTTTAATGCACATCTTCATATGACTCGCCAAGTCCCTTTAGTCATTTTAACATGCAGACGTCTTTATGCCATGGCAAGGTCCCAAATTGCATATCTAACTTCCTTAAGCCTGCTTATCACGTAAAGTTGCAAACTTTACGTGCATGCATTGCTTTACAAGCTCTTAATGTCAAAACCAAGCTTTTAATGGGTGTTCATGGACCAAGGGAACCTTAATCTCGACTAAAGCTGGAACTTTATGCTTGTATAATTCAATGACGGTCCCTGTATTTTCAGGTTTTCTTAAGTTTTAGGGGGGGGGGGGGAATACAAGTTAAAACACCAAGAACATAACTAAACTTTTCTAACTGCCTTCATCAGAAAAGTTGGACTCCATTCACGGACTGTTTTGGACAACTTAAACATTTTAGTTTTCAAAATTGTATTAGGTTCAAATAGTTCAAGTTCTTATCTTTAAAATGACTACTTTCACATCTCCATACGATTTTTCTATAATTTATGTTGATTTTTACAAAACTGCCTATCATTTCAAACATCAATCCGGACCAGTCTGTGATTATGGACTTCTTCACACAAGTTAGAGGTCATTAAAAATCATGAGAAAAATTATGGAGAAACTAGACTCATTTTCCAAACTCTTAGAATTTTTGGATTCTGATTTGGACCTTTGATGATTTTTCTACAAATTTTATAGGACAGGGATAGAAAATGTTATCAACAGAAAAATATTATCAATTTCATTTCACCTTGTAACATGTTGAGCAAGGTGTATATCTGTATGTGATTATATGTTATTTCAATATATGACATTATTGTCTTAGTATGTAGACATACACCAGTTAACAAATGAAGTTTTCTAGACAAAGCATAGAAATAACAATTTGTTATAATCAAAGTACATCTATTACATACAAACGTTTGAATAAACTATGTTAAGTATAGTTTATGTACATTACCACTTTTACCCTTGTTTTGATAAACTATAATAGGTATAGTTTATGATACATCACATAACACACTCATACAAAAAGGTTACATTCATACAAAAAGGAATTTTTCCACTACATTACACATGAATTCGTTACTGGCTTTTTTGAGACATTCGCTTCACTTTACCAATAAGTCTTGTATTGTAACCAGAGTCTCCTGGAGAGAAAGCGTGATAGTTCTATACAGATCTATATTGGGATTTGACAAACCCACACATGAGCTGCTTGCAACAGCTAGACCGGCAGGTCTGTGGTGACAAATGTCATAACAGTTCCGACGCCTGAAGAACGTCGTCTCAGGCCAACTAGGTCATAGTATGGTTATAATAGCTCACATTAAGTATTAACAAACATAGAATTTACGGGGAATTCATGTAGATCAAACGAGTTTACATAGATTCACTACTAGAAAAAGCCATTTAATGACGCGCAAACAATGACACTCCTGATAAAGGACGTGCATTTGTGCGTGCCCTAAAAAGCAATGTCAGTTTTGCAAAATTTGAAGGACAAAGAACACGCATTTGTGCATGCCCTAAAACTAATGTCTGAAAAGAAAAAAAAATAAAAGAAATGTGGAGGGCGCCTTTCATAAATTTGCGTCGTCTAAAAGTGTCGCTTTATAACATTTTAATGAAACACACGTTTTTAAGCAGGATTTCACCCGCCTATTGAATCCTAAAAATTAAACACACACACACACAACCCCCACCCCCCCTTCCAATTAGCAGGAAAAAACCCTAGGCCTTCATCTTCATAGCTGCATCGCACCACCACCCAACTTCCGATCTCGCACCACCAAGTGTCTCCAACTATTCTTTCCTGTCGCACTACACCGATAACAAAACCCCATCACTATTTTAGGTCACCATTCACCAACAGCCTCACTATTCTAATACTTTAACTCGAGTGTTTATTTGACCATAACGTCAAAATTGAATCGAATGTTCATTCGACACAAAGTCATTGATACGGCCGACGACGCCTCCGCCTCCGGTCTCTAGTCGGCGACACCGACGAAGCCTCCTCCTCCGACCGCTTCCGTCTCCCCTTCATTCATGTTGTTTAAAGCCTCACATTTTTTTATAGATCGTTGGAAGCATAGGAGTTGTGGCTGTAGGTCTGGATTTAGGGAAAGAAGGGCCACTGGTTCACATTGTTGCCTGCATCGCTTCATTATTAGGTCAAGGTGGGCCCGATGACTGCAAATTCATCCCTCAAGCTCCCCCCGATGGTCCTCTGGTAAGCCAGATCCTTTAACCTTTTATTCACAACAATTTCATACACGATTATACAGCAACAAAGAGATCTTCCTTCGTGAACTTATTAGGCAAGCTTCAAACTTTTGCAAATTTCTAGTTTACTTTTAAGCCCTGAGTGATGTGGCTTCTTCATTTCGTTCGATAATTTTTGTTGGATCGATTTGTTTGCTTCTGTATGACATTTTATCCGTTCAAAAAAGACTTTTATTTAATTAACATGGATGAAAGCTAGCTTATCGATTCCCTGATCATTATTTTGCAATTTGATTGGTCGATAAGTTTTTCTATCATAGTTCCATAAAGCCCCTTCAGCTTCTTACAAAGTTAATGGTGTAATGGAAAGCTTGTCTAGTGGCACATGTTGTCTATCTTATGGATCCCCTGATGATTATTTTGCAAATGGTTTTATATCATCAATTAGCTCAAAAATATTTGTCACTTATCTTCTTCAGCTATACCCGTTTAAATCTGCTTCAAGCTTCAAAAACAAGTTATTGTTACTTTCTGATTCCCAAATAAGAGATACAAAACACTTTTGGAAGTTGATTTTTTCATTATAATCTTTAAAACTGATATTGATTTAAAAAGAGATTGTAAGTAATGTATTGATTATTTCTTTATTTATCTTGCCTCTATTGTGAAGATCAAAAGATGTGAAGAAATGGCACGAAAGTTGCGGTTCTTAAAAGATCAAATGTCAAAGGCGGGCACCACATAGTCATTAAATCTCTTTGTCAATCAATATCAGTCTTCATCTTCTTTATATTTTGCCATATCAAGTGATGGAAAATTCAGTCTTATGTCATTGTCTGGTGGTGAATATCGGGGGTATTTTGGTCTTTTAAATAAAAAGCAGACTGTGTGCCACCTAGACCTCGTGCTGGTGAAGTCAGTCTGGTTAATTCAGTCCTATGTCATTGTCAGGAGGTGAATTCAGTCCCATGTCATTGTCAGGAGGTAAAATTAGTCCTATGTCATTGTCAGGAGGTGAATAACTTATATTTTATTTAAACTTTATCTGGTTTTAGGTAAAGAAAGGTGGAATGCCACCTGGACCTCGTGCTGGTTTCTCTATGTGTGTACATAAAAAGCGTACTATGTTATTTGGTGAAGTTTTTGACATGGAAGCTGAAGGTTAATTTTCTCTTTAATTATTTTGATTTTGTAAAATTATTTGGAATCTATTAAATTCCTCAGAGGAAGATATGATTGCCTTTAGAACATAAACTATTATTTTTCATCATTAAAAAGTGTGTAAAACATGTGTAATTAATATGATTTCTAATTTTATTATAATGACTTCAATTGTATATGTAGGTGATGTGTTAATGAGCTTGTTCTTGAATGAAAAGATATAAAATTGAAGTCAAAAAGATATAAAGTTGAAAACAGAGGAATTGTATTCAAAGTCCTACTGATGGTGGGACAGGGGGAGGAGGTTGGGCTAACACCCTCTTTTCTTTTCAACCTTTTAAATTCAAGTTTTTCAACTAATATATAATTCTTTTCCAGCTCCTGGAGATGGACCAATTATGTTAGTTTTAGCTCCAACTCATGAACTTGATTCTATTTTTCAGAATAATGAATAGGTAATTTCTATTTTTTTTAGTTAGGAATCTCTTATTATTCTTTAGTATTTGACATCCATAATCTTCTTGAATGTCCATTGATTTGCAGAAGGACAACCAAAATTTTCTTACAACAGAGACAACAATTGTATGGCCTGTATCTGAAATAAGATATACCAATTACCATTTGTCTCCTTGTGGTGCTACAAAATTTTGATGTTCTCATATATAATAGATCGTATCTTATCTTAGCATTAGTTTTGTTATATTCTTGTTTGGTAAATTGTTAGAGCATTGAATTGAAATGTTTGCTCCAATTAATTGGCATTAGTTTCTACAACCAACTAATTGGCTGTAGAAAACTCGGGCACTGACCTCAATCCAAGGCTACAGATTCTTCCACAAAAGTTAAACAAGAAATCAGGGAAAAAATCCAAACCTAGTTCAGGCTTCATTGCACCTACGGGTGGTGTTGCAGGTACAAGTGTTGCTAGGCTGCCACTTTTTCCTGAATAGTTCATGCAACAAAAATAGTTGAATTTGAAGAAAAATCTCTTCACACAATGACACAAAAAATGGTTTTGACTCGTAAGGAAATGATATGCTTAATGTTATACTTGGGGGTTTTCTGAGGGTGTTTTTTTGTCATTTGTTTCCTTGTTTTTGATTTTTTTTTCAGCAAGAGGTGGTTTTAGAAAGGTATTGGCTGGGAGTTTAGCTTGCCTTTAAAAAGAAAAGCAGTTATGTGCTTATTTTGTCTATCTGTTCTACACACAACATCTCTAAAGGAATATGGCAAGTCCATATATATGCATAATTGTCAATACACACACATACACGTCCATATATATGCATAATTGTCAAAAAAAAAATCATTTTTTTTTGCTTTTGGTTCTTGTTTAATAATATACATACATTTTGATTTTTGTTTCTTTGGTTTAATTTTTTTTTTTTTGTGTATATGTACTAAAAAAACATAATGTATGCACAAAAACGTAAATACCAGATTTGCCCTCAATAGAAAAACGAACTGATTACTTGTCTTTTACTGAATTACCCCTTCTAGGATATATATATATATATATATATATATATATATATATATATATATATATATATATATTGAAATAAATAGGAATGTAAAGTTAATTATGTATATCCACAGACATATTTCATCAGCAACATGCGTGAGCAAAGTAATTTCTCAGATTTTACTTAAATTTTACAACATGAGCTTGTAAGGTTGCTTAATTGGGCTCTTTTGATCTGTTGCTTCAGGTTGGCACATCCTGATCAACCCTCCATAACCTTCACAACTTTCAACTTTAATCTTCTACTTAGCGGTGAAGGTGGTGGTGGTCCTATTCCTTTTGATCTTTCATTGCCTATTGCTAAACAGGTTTCACAATATATAGAAGGGTATTGAATTCAAAAGTTTAAAGAAAGCACATACACATTTCCTGATCCTAGTAAGGTATTGTAAGATGCTATTAATGTCCAGCTTCAATGAATCTTATGACTCAAGATATGGGGCCATTGTGATGGATCCTCAGAATGATGATGGTCGTATAGGGTATTTGGTTCTTCCCAACAACACTTGTCAGCATGCTGCTCCAACCTTTGTCAATTTAATGAATGTTGTAATTCTTAGGCTTGCTACACATAATGAGAATATGACCATAAAAACACGTAATCATCCAATGCCAATGACAGAAAGTCAACACCTGCAACATCAAGTATACATATACTTCCAATTATTCTTCTACTTATACTCATATCTTATAAATTTTTCTAGGATAACATACAATCAAAATATTGACACCTTTATATGTAGTGTGTATTTAAATAGTGATTTGTATGATCTTGTAGAACCTGGATGCATTCTCTGTAACTATTGTTGTGTATTTAAATAGTGATTTCATTCGTACTTCATTTGTTGTTCCTATTGTGAAGGTATGCCACTCTCTAGTTGTCTTTTTCACATAATTGACCTAATTATTTTAACGCCCCTCAGTTAATCCAACAATAAACTGTTGGATTAATGTCTAAGTCCATAACTATAATTGGTAAGACTTGACCCGACCCGGCATGGTCCATTTGGGTTGCATGGCATCATGCACTTGGATAGACTATAATAAGAGAAATAAGACACTTACGGTTATTAATATATTATAAGTTCTAGTATATTAATAATAAGAATAATAATATTATGTAATTAGTATTGATCAAGAATTAATCTAGGATTAATTAAGTTATCAAAAGAAGACTAATTAAATATGTGGGTTGATTGTGTAAATCATCCATACTTGTATAGTGGGCTAATGCTCCATGGATAATCAAGTTGGGCTAAAACCCATAGGATGGTCCATGGATGCTCCATGGTGTATTTGAACCCATGGATCCAAGGAAATGGAAAGTCATGACAATTAGGGTTTACCCTAATTGTATAACTATATTAGCATCTTATTCTTGAGGAAAATCGGCCACTAGAGATAATAACAAAGGGCTAGCCGATTTCATGAAGTGTATTTTTCTCTCAAGTTATTCCAAGTGTATTTGGTGTTGTGTGAACCATTTGAGGTGTCACACTTGGGGCACTAGGCACTCAAGCTTCATGAAGACATTCTACATCAAAGAGGTATGTATTCTATCTTGTTATGTTGATAGTTTTGTATGCTAGATTAGGATAATACCTTGGATGTTCATATTTGCATGTATAATAGAGAAAACATAGATCCAAGGTATTTAGGGTTGCATGTACACTTAGGAGTGTTAGAATGCTCATAACCCAACAGTGGTATCAGAGCCTAGGCTTGTTTTCTTGTTATACTTGCAATAGAAGCTGAAAAATCGAGTTTTGTTGCTGTCTACCCAGCAGACTCGCCGAGTCCATAAAAGGGACTCGCCGAGTCCAAGGCAAAATGCATCCAACTCGCCGAGTTGTGTCCATGCACTCGACGAGTTGGACCCCAAACAGCATATCCTTCGAGGTTTTTGGCTAGAAATGGACTAGGAACATTACCCTAAGTTGTTTTTGAACTTATAAACTTGTTTTTAATGTGGTAATGTTCATGCTAATCCATTTTCAAAGATAATTGTCAATAGATTCATGTTTTGTATTAGTTTAAAGGTTAGACTAATTACATGAAAAAGTTTGATTTGAATTATCTTGTTCTTATGAGTTGCTTAGATTAATAGAAAAGTTGAGTGAAATAGTTGTTTTCAATCCAAATTAATCTAAGAGTTGAGTATAAAATGTGTTTGTGTAACTTGTCCTCAAGTTACATGAAGAGTCACATTAAAGACTCATAAAACTCATAAAATTGGCAAAGGTTACAAAAATGAAGAGTCTAGTTCTAATTAATTGGAGTTATGACTCCATAATTTGTCCTCAAGTTATGGAGGACCAAGAGTCTCTTCATTAAATAAATAAATAATATATATATATATATATATATATATATATATATATATTGTAACCTTAATTAATTCCATAAGGTATAAAAATAAAGAAAAGTTAATTCTTTTATCAGTTTAAAGTCTTCCATAAGTTATGGGACTTGAAGAGTTTTTGGATTAAAACTACTTTAAACACATAAGTTATGGAATTAATTAGTTTTGAATAGTTTCAAAACTTGCCCTCAAGTTTTGGAATTTGTAAAGTTTTCTCTTATGAATACTTTAATTCCAAGTTAACCCTTAGAATTTTAAAAGTTAAAATTCAACCCTTATACTTTATAATATTATAAGTTAATAATATATATATGTATAAGAGTAAAGTCAGTCTTACCGCTAGTACGCTTCATTCACAAAGCCGGTCTATAAGGTGGGTATAAGGTTGTTGCCTATAAAATGGCGACTTAATGGGTGTCCACTCTCACCCACCGCTTGCTTGACCGGTGGAGGGTCGTTAGCCGAACGGGTTTGACAGGACTATAATTCTCCCTTCATTAAAAGTATTAATGATAAATACTAAGTAACTAAACTGTTAATAATACCCAATCTTAGTTACTTAGGAAAATGTGGATAAGGTGCTAATCCATGAAATTACACTTTGCACTTTGTTTAAGTCGGTTAGTGGAGCGTGTGTGGTTAACCGGCACACTAACTCGTATTTAACAAGGTAGGCAAAGGGTAACTTAATGTTTATCATAGTATCGATGGAGCGTGTGTGGTTAACCGGCACATCGATTGAGGGGTAAACACTTAAGGGTACCAAGTAATTTGCATGGTTACTTCACACCTTGTTTTGTGATCCTCGGCATCCCAGTCACAAAACCTGAAGGGCACACTCGAGATTGAAACATGCCATTGAACAGTTCAATGAATCTCAAAAGATCTAGGAGTTTCAAATCCAATTAAAACCTAATAATACATTTCGTTTATCTTGGTGGAAATTGGTGAATCGTCATTCACCTACCTTCAAATTGTTTTATAGCTTGGATTACGGCATACCTCTTCTAAGTTATAAAATAGTTTGTTGGGTCCTAGCCTTAATATTTCATATTGGGTGTCATATTAAGGACTTTAAGATCAACTATCTTGAATATCTCCCAAAACATGTCTGGTTTAGACATTTATGATCTTCCCAAATCTCTTGAAACAAGCTTTCCTAAATGAAGATGATGTCCCATGGAAATCATACTTCTTTCACCTCCTCCAATTATTCTCCCTAACCCACAAGTTCTTAAAAGTTTAAGGTCACTCAAGCCCTATTGGCAAGGCAAGGTCTAGGTGTGGTCACATCTTGGAGATGTAGTCACATATTGACAAGCCGGGAGAGTTGGGTGTCAAAGTCTTGAGAAAGTTGGTGGTTCAATCACTTTCTAAGTCACATAGTGAGTTCTTTTGGAACACCTATGAAACAGACTATGACAAGACCCTTAATGATCTTATCTATTTGTTAAGATCAACTTCCTCAAAACTTGATGGACATTGACAATAGTGACACAGGAAATCCAGAAAAGCATTCTCTTCCCAATGGAAAGGGATCGGCCATAGTCAACTCGGTTGACCAAATGGTAAAGAGAAAAGCTAAGTTTGTGATAGTCTCGTGTACCATTATCAAAGGGTCCATATGTTTATATTGCCAAAGAAAGGGTTATTAGTTGCGAAGCTGCCAAATTTACCTAAGGATGTTAAAGTCAATAAGTTTGACTCTACTTCAGGTAAAGTCCACTATCTAACTCTGTTAAGTTTCTATTCTGAGATTCCTGATACATGATGTGACTGGGTCACATGGTATGTTTTAAGAATCAAAGAAAATGAAGGAACTTAAAGAAAGAATATGCTGAATCTGATCGCATAGATGGATTTCTATCGCGTAGTTTGAAATCGGATTCTTGAGCTAATTCTTAAGAGTTATGAGATATTGCTAAGGAATAGATAACAACAAGTTTTCATATGGGTTGTAAGGATAAGTTTTTCTGCATAGTTTTAAAATAAAATTTTGATTTTATTTATTTTAAAATATCCTTACAATGGCATTTGAGGAAAAATTGTTGCTTATATGATTCCATTAATAGCAAGAGTGGAAATATGAAATTGATTCTTCATTTGTGGTAATGTCTAAATTTACCAAATAAGGAAAGATTCTCATCACCCAAAGTCTCAATTGGACCGGACTTGGAATCATGCAAGTTCTATAGCATGATGAATGAGAACTTTCAAGTATTGGAAAATTAAGACTAATTACTTGTTCACATGGATGTGAGTCAAGTAATGGACTA